CACTTAATTGTTTCTGATTTGTTTATTTTTTTCAATACAGTGCTTTAGCGCACACTCCATCAGTCCCTGTGTTGACACCCCGTGCACCCCCCACCCCATTTCTCCCCTCCCTCTCATGCCACCCTCTCCTCACCATCCCCCACACTTTCACAAGTGGTGCTCAGATGTCCATCAAACACAGCAATGAAGGATCACAATAAGTTGTTGGAGCCTGTCAACAAAAGCACTCTACCACTTTGTTTCACTCTGCTCTCTCTTGTTGAGCCCGCTGGAGATCTCTGATGTGAAGGAGCAGATGAATTTCTAACTAGACATTTTCGGGCCCCTTTTGAGTGTCACTACCTGTTGCCAATGCAAATAGATTCCAACTCCAAAGGATCCAAAGGAAGCGTATTGTTACATGACTGAGTGTTTTAGTCCACTTGCATGTTGTTTGCCTTTTGAAGTGGACATGCTGCTTTGGCTAGATCAAGAACAATGGTTGGGCATGACCCTGCAGTTGCACTTGGGTGCTGCATTCAGGTGCATTTTAAGCAAGATGGCAGCTCAAAGTCTTACTGGTTTACAGGGGTGTAGGCAGACATTCTGAGAGCCAGAATAGACTAAAGGTTTCAGAAGTGAACAGTGTTTATTCAAACATTGCTATAACATAAGGAGAGTATGAAGACAAGAGTACTTACCCACGTGAAAGCCAGGAGAGATGACCTACTTCATTGGCGGCCAGCCGTTTGCCATTTGCAGCCGCTCCAATACCTTTGTACTTGCCTTGTTCTGGCTGGACCTGTAAAGAAGCGATTCTCCTGTTTTGCCTTTTATCCTCTCCCTTGATGGGTCTTCACAGCTGTATGACTTGTAAATCGCACCACAATATTGAATAGAATTGACATTCTTAGATGTAAATCGATAAAATATTTCATATTTGGTATAAGTCTAATTATCAAATCATATTTTTCCCTCTCAGATCTGCTGGTGAGTTTGTTGCTATAGAGATAATGAATATGGTCATGTATTTATGTATGAATTCATATGTGTGGATATGTATTTGGTGTTTGCTCATGTAATCATTTATTCATTTCTACATTTTGGTTGTTGTTTTGTCTGAACAAACAAGGCCACTGTAATACGAGGAGCTCCCTTTTGATTCTGTTTGAATCATGAGAAGTTGGAGAGAAACAGCCAATCAAAGATGAGACATGATGTGTTTTTGGACTCTCCAGAAAAAAAAGACACAGACAAACTTAACTAGTTTCTCCAAGTTTTTCTTCTTCTTATTGTTGGAAGTGAGTAAGTGATGCAAAGCCTGGAGAAATCTGCGGCAGGTCACAGGAGAGTGACAGTTTAGGGCAGTTTATATTAGTATTGATAAATAAACATTATTTAAAACATCTGTCAGGCCCGGTTAAATTTCCTTGGTATGGTTCAGTAGCTTCACCAACCCAGGGCATCGAATATTTAATTATTTTTGTAACTGAACAATGAAAAATAAAATTTCCAGACCGACACCCTGTATGTAGAAGACAATTGCATTTCTAATATCTGCATGTGAAATCTTCTTCACACACCCTCCCCTTCCCATGTCCCATCTCGATGCCTCGCAGGGCTGTGAAGTCTCCTGCATTACCATAGCTCTCTTCCTGACAAAGTCTGTTCTTCATATTCACTTGTCGTGGCTAATTACGTGTTTAACCCTGTGCTGGTGAGCTTGTTTTACATTCAAATTTATGGGGACCTCGCTGATCTGAAGAAGAAGGAGTGAGTGAGTATATGACGGTGAAGATCAGTCTACTGATTATCTTTATAGAAAAAGGGACAGCTTCCAGAGGACGGCATTCTTGGAGTTGTTGACCTATGACCTCTTGAAAACATATAAAGCAAAGGTCACAGGTGGATAGTGGAAGGGCGAGGTACCTTCATATTTACAAAATTATTGATTTACTGTATTTGTCTATTATTATGATGATAATTATATTTGTTTTTCTGTAATATGATTTGCATTTTTATTACCAGCAAATGCAAATATTTCTGTTTTCATATTAACATGATGCTGTAGCAATAATTTTCTGATGTTGTTGCTTGTGGAATAAATAATTATGCATATGTTGTCAATATTTACATTTCCACTGTTTAATTTAATTCTAATGGAACTCCCTGGGCAATACGAGTAGCAGCTAATAGAAGACAAATGATTAAAGCTTTCTCCATAATAACTGCTGAAACACAACTGGTTGTACTGTAATCTAATGCAGCATTTCAGTGTTTACAGAGTATGGAAACTTTGATCACTTCTATTGTTTATTTAATTTCCTGATGTAATTTTTCAAACCCTCTTTTAAAGAAATTTCTCTGATAGGTTTTATTAGTTTTGGAGCAAAATAAAAAGACAGCACTTGTTTGTGTGTGTTCCTGCATTGTAAATGTACAAGTGTGTGAAACAGCTTGAACTCACTTTTTAACAACTACCGCACAGCCTCCCCTGTGTACAGTGGTTCCATTGTGCTATATGGTGGGTGTGTTTGTGTGTGTCTTCGGCGTGCAGTACCGGGCCAGGTCAAAGCAGCTTAGTTCTGATCTGCTGGGTGACCTGCCTGATCCTCGCCGGCCTCATTGACCCGCATGATTTCATTATAGTGAGGTAAGACACATGGCCTCTGCACACACATGAACACAGAGGTATCGCTGAACATGTGCATAAATACAGCTAAGGCATATGAGCATCTACACATATACATGAAAACATTTTGAAAAAGTCACTTTTAAAATTTGATATTAAAAGTCAATGTTTGCTTTTCGCTTAAATTTAGGGTAATTTCAGAAAAACTGAAATGTTCCATTCAAAATTGTATTGACAAAAAAGCCAACGATTCCAAATATTTTTGAAATACTGTGTGGTGAAAATATGATACAACACCAAAAAGAAGCCACAGTAACTCATTGCAGTGATAGAAAACCCCAAACAACTTTGCATTATCTGTTTTGAAAATACAAGGCAGTGATAGGATGAGGCAACACCAATTCCATTCGAAATTGCATTGAGAAAAAGCCAAAAACAAGGTTATATTTTTGAAATGCTGAACATCTTTGAAGATGCAAGGTTGTTATAGAACAACATAACACCACAAACAAGCAAATAGGAAGCAAGAGAAGCATGCAAGTTGCAAATAATGTATCATTGTTTATTTCCTAGTGAAGCATTCTTAGAAATGAGCAATTCAGCTGTTACCAGAAGCAACAAGAATGTAATGATCTTTAGTCTAACAGCAGATCAACTTTTCATATTGAGATGACCATACACAGTATATAAATACACCTTTGAAAACAGATTTCATGTGTTACTCATCAGGGAAAAAAATCCGGGACAAAAAGCTAATTTCTGCAATTGGGCTCCAGGACAACACCTAAAAATTTATTTACACACAAAATACCTGAAATGTCATGCAGACATCTTGCTGATAAACATTTTTTTCAATCTGTTATAACATACAGTAGATTTGTATGTGTGTGTGCGTGTGTGTGTGTTGAGGTTGGTGTCAGAAGAGTTCCACTGAATACGATCACTAGATGGCGATCTAGGTTAAAGCAGTGTGCTGTTGGGAAGCTCACAGGGCTTGTCAGCAGTCCAGTTCTGTGGCAAGCGAACCTCCTTATTGAGGTGTACACAGTCATAGCATGTAGAGCTGTGGAATATGGAATAGGATTTGGTTTCACTTTTGTTGGGATTGAGGATTTTCTTACATGCTTTTGAGGGATGCATGCTCAGAGCCTGAAAGCACAAAAACAGCACTGCTTAGAGATTTAGAGCAAATGTAGAGCCGGGTGGGATCACACCGCAGCTAACATCTGATTCTTAATTAGGCCCCAGCTACACCAGTTAGACTTAAACAAGATCAGGGTGGCAAATTCATGCTTTATATTTAATTTGTTTACTTGTGATATAAAATAAAGAGGAGTACTGCCTGAAATATGGTGATCAAAAATGTGAATTAAAAATAAATGTGTGTTGGGAACGTATTGTCTCATGATTTAGTGGTGAAAATGTCCTTTAATCTGAAAGATATCACAAGATACTAAAAAGTGTTTCTCCTGATGAAACTAGACATTTCCATTAGCATTCTATAATGGTCAAACTGAGGTTCTTGCTCTACAACTTCAAGTTTAAATTGAAATTCAGTACATGTAGCTAAAAGACAGCAGTGCCTCCTTCAATACAAAACATCAGGAGGATAATCCGAGCTACTGTATTTCATCTGGTAATTTTTAAAAAAAAAGAAAAAAGCAACATGCCATGAATGATGACTGTCCAAAAAACAAAACAAAACAAAACAAATAAAAACCCTAAATAGGAACGCAATTCTGAGTTATAGCTAGAGCTGGTGTCCTGTTTAGGGAGGCACATAGTTGTGCAAAGTTAAAAGTCATTACTGGACACAACAGCATTTTGGGCCCTTATTCTCATACAAATACTGTTGATACTTTCATTCCTCAGTATGTTGACTTTGATTTGGTGCTTTCATTTGAAAATGTACTGTTTGATATCACACATATACTTCAGCTAAAGTCAATGAACACTATTATTCGCTAAACACTTTTTATTAGCTAAATTACATACCCATAAATTTAAGTTCTCCAATCAGAAGCTATGTTTCTTAATATTTGAAACTGTCTGTAGATCCAAACCATTCAATTTTCTACAAACAAAAAAACTTGTAAAACTGTAAATATTTTATGCAATGCTTTTGTTTACTCTCTTTGCCTTGTTATAATTTAATTTATATTTGTCTCAACCCCTGGTCTTGTTTGTTGTTCGTTTCGTCTGTTCAATAAAGCATCATTACAAAAACTGGAACAAAATAACCCAATAAAGAAATTAAAATACTACTGCAGAGTAAAATGGCATTTGTTTGGGTAAAACTAATGGCTTGTGAAGTAGCTAAAATATCCTACTGTATCAACAGTCCCTGAACCTGTCATGCGTGTTCTTTGATTATACAGATGTAGTTTCCGCCAATTAGTGATGTTTTGCTGAAAATGGATTTCCTGTGTAGATGTGTCAAAACAACGGAGAAAACGAGGATAAAGACGCTAGTTTTAATTCCATTTGTTCAGTAAAGTAAATATTTTTGTATAGTAGTGTGAGAGAGAGCCACGTTAACTAGTTAACTTAATTAGTGCTAACGCAGTGGACTGTACTTCGCGTCATCCCGAGTATGCGTGTGGAAACCGTATTTTCACAAAGCACCTGAGTGAGTATGTATACTATATTTGAAAGTGTAAGCTTATGGACATATGTAGTTGAGAAGAAAAACATTTATTAGCGTTTGCTGGTTTTGAATAGATACTGCAGGTTGAAGTGCTCAGGGTTTGCCCCGCATACCAGATGAACCTACCTGCGCCGACGGACAGAGCCTCTGGAGGTGTATGTGGACCACGCCTACCGGACCCAGGTGGACGTGGCTCAGACGACTAGCGAGCTCTACGGAGTTTCCAAGGGACCGTGAGTAACTATACAAACCTTACATGAGCTACAGCACAATTAACGAAATGATAGCTACCATAAAATTCCGGGTATTCAAACTCATTTCTCTGTGGGTTCACTTTATTTTCCCCAGAGGAAATTAAAATGGAGGCTCCAGGGCTTATAACGAACTTTTCTATCCGCTAATACAGTCACACTCTGACATCACATTCATAATGTCGAGAGGAGGCTGCCTCCTATTAAAAAAATGACATTTGTGCAGGTTATCATGACCAACAGTTACTTATGGTGAAAGTCAGTAAAGCTTGCTGGTGCAAGTATGTTGTTAATGTTGTCAGGTGATGCTCCATTGGGTCCTTTGAGAGAGAAATGTCTTATAGGCTGGAGGACCTGTTGGTCCTTTGAGAGGGGTGACTGTGATACTTCTGAGCTGCATGGGAGTTTCACCTGAACACATTAATAGTCTGTCTATATAATATGATAACCAGGCCTCTCCACACCCTGTGCTGTTATTGTACATACATTCCAAATGTAATGATTTCTCACCTGTTATAAATGTGCTGTTAGTTGGTGTGAACTAAGCCACCATATTGCTATGGTGTGGTCTGGATTGTGTTTGCACTGCTATGAGTGACTTTCTACACTACCCGTTTTGAACTCCTGTTCATTTGTGAGCCTGTGATTATTAAAGTATTGGTCTTAATCACTTTGTTACTGCCACAGGTTACTTTTTGGTTGACTTTATGTCATAATGTGATTTATGAGTTCAATTGATGCAGAATATTTAAATAATTAATTAATTGTAATATAAGAATGAGGAAAAGTTTGGGGTTAGTTGAGAGCGCTGCAATGCCATGAGAAAACATGTTCTTGCAGCTATGGGAGAGGCAAAGAACTAAGAAGCAGAGTGATGAGAAAAGAAAACAATGAGACGTTTCAGGCTAGAGAATCAAAGTGCATTAATTTGCATAACCTGCATGTATGCATTTACAATACATGCACGCATACATCCCATCATTGTAGTATATCATCACTTCCATCTCCGCCTCTTTCCAATCTTCCTAGTCTTCTTTACATCAACTTTTTTCAGCCTTTTCTTGTATTTTCTCGTCTTTCTTCCTACTCTCTACCTATGCAAGTTGTCATTCTCTCACTATAATAGCGCTTCTCTGCCTTCATGTTGCTGGTTGTTTGCTTGAAACGTAATCTGCAGATGTAACAGAGGAAGAAATTGAGTCTAACAAATGGCTTGAAAGGCTCACGCGGCATATCAAGCCCAAACCAACAAAGGCAGACAAAACGCCCACCTTTTTTCCACCCCTCAACATCTGAAGTTGATATTTTCAACAGAATAGCGCACGGCTGACGTGCCCTGAATAAAGAACACTGTGTTCGCTGCTGTTGTGTTGTGTTACGCTGTCATTCCGACTTGAATGGGAAAGTTGAGGCCCATTTGTTTGGTTTAGCTGTTGAGGAGAAATGGGTTTGTTTGATTAACATTTTGCTTGCGCATGTCAGCTGCAACAGTGTCATTTCTATGGGGAAATGAAAGTTGAGGCTGTGTAAACTGTAGGAAGACTATCTATCTAAAATCAAATGGCTTTTTGGTTGCATGGACATAAAATCTATCTGAAATTAGCCTAACAGCAACTGTGATTACAGCTATTACTGCACATGGTGACCTTCACATTTCAAAACATTACCTGTGTGTGTGTGTGTGTGTGTATACCCAAGCTAGATCATAGGCTACAACAGGTATAATCTCTCAGTTTCACTAATGTGCAGTGATAACATTGTTTTTGAAATCTGAAAATTGCCTCCCAGTTCACAAAAATCACATTACACATCCATGTAGCATCCCGTGTATCTTGCAGCTCGGGTGGGTGCTGCCTCTAATCTCTTGTAATGCACTGTAATATAGGACACCATAAAAGGCCTGTTTCGTGGCAAAAAATGGTAAATTACCCATTGTAAGGAAATGAACATCACTGGGCTGCTCTGCTGCCATGCCCGGACTTAATTTGGACTGTATTAAAATATGTAGCTAATACGAACAATAAAATAATCTTTCAAAATATGTTTTGATAGGGTCCTCATTTCCGCTTTACATCCTATAGAATTCCTAAACAGAGACTTGGTTTCTTTATGTTGCAGCTTGCTTCTCACTGTCACCGCTATACATTAAACACCAGCTGTTTATTTCACAGAGCTGAGTGTTACCGAAGTATTTCTGTGTCTCAGCACGAGCTTGTTATCTATACATAAACCTATTTCCTCAGCTGTTACGTCTCTCATGGCGAATTCACACAGGCACCTCTTCAGTTCTGTCTTACACCTAACCGATTAATTATCTGTATTGTTAATAGCGAGTGATGTCAAATGCATGATGTTGTGCTGTGAGGAGATGCAGCATTGTCATTAAGGTTTTCTCACTGTGGTTGTTAAGCAGCTGATTCTAGTTCATTTATAAGTTCATTTTGTCTTCATATTAGATGCTTTAAAGGTATTTTGGCATGTCCTCTACTTGCTTCTTTATGTGTACAAGTGACGGTTAAAACTGAAAAATTATTGGATGATATTGGATTGGATGATGAACACAAAAACTAAACCTGGAACCCGGGGTGTAAAATTGTCTTCAGCTAACAATTTGACTTTTTCTGTTAGTTCTGGCAGATAAGATAACAAAGCTAGGGATTCTTATAGCAGAGCTTGTCATGTAAAGGCACTGGACATCATTACCTTCGTGTTTTACCTCTTCATTTCTAAGTTGGATAGACACATTGGATGTTTATAGTCAGTGGTGGAAGAAGTCCTCAGGTCTTTCTCAGAGGTGCAGTTTTAGTTTATTTCTGTCATGCCAAACTAACTGGCTAATTGATTCAGGATGTGGACAGCCAAATTTGTGCATCATCCATATTTACAAGATCAGTATCTGTTTCTGTCTCACTACCCAAAGTATTTCCAACAAAAAGGACAGTGTGTAAGCATCACTGTAGCCTTGCAACTGGTAAATGTAGGGCCAGTTGTATGTGCTGCTAAGCAATTAAATCTATATTAATTATTTTTTGTGTGTGTCATGAGTTTATGTCATGCTGACCTGTGATTTTGTTCTAGTTTATTTATATCTGCATACATAATATTAGCTATCATTTAAACAAAGAAGCTAAAATTGTATTTGGTCTGTTTCATAGCCATCAGCTTTCCCACCTAATAACATTTTGGTGAGCTTCTCCTTTGACCCATGAATTTCAATAGCCAGTGGGATGGAGGGTGCAGAATGCAGCCTCTAATGATTGACTGACTGCAACAACCCAAGTCTTAAAGGGTTCATTTAAAGGTACAGTGCATCTGAAACAGTGGGTTGTTGTCTCTCTGCAAGACAGTTTGATTCTCAGTGCTTTTGTTTGAATTTTTAAAAAGTAAGAAAGGAAAAAAAAGGTTCATATAGTGAAGCCAAGTATCACATAAAGGCTCCTGACCAGTGTATAAGATACAAAATAACCATAATGAGAAGTATGATGATTGCTAGAGCTTTTAGAGAACACGGTGACTGATCTATTGATATGTGCTGCATTTACTGCGTAATGAATCATATAGCAAAACCTGTTGTAATGCATTATAAATACTTGAATTCATTTTGAGATTTCTCATCATCTGATTCTTCTTTACTATTGAGAAACTCAGAATCACAGCGGAGTTCTGACTTGAATCAAATCCTTTACCTTAATCTTCCCTTTAGGAACCAGTAAAGTTAATCTTGAGCCTGATTTGATTTAATTTGAAGTTGACACCGCTGCTGAAATGGCAGCATTTTTTGCCAGGACACTGTACCTTGGTTCTTTTTTAAATACACAATAATCTGTAAGATGACTATCAGGTGACCGTCCCTTTGCACCCCCAGAACCCTTTGACCATCTTCCCCACCTGTGGCACAGCGTGCATGGTAGGGATCATCCGTGGCCCTCCACTCCTCATTAACCTTGTCTAATTAGATGTTAGGGAAGTCTATTGTTGGCCCTAATGAAGCCTCAACGGAAAGACAGGGCCTCGGCTGGCTTTTTTGACACTTCTGTGAAATTACAATCCCCTTTCCTCAACCCCCAGCACCCCACCCTTCCAGTTTGATTCCTCTTTTTCTCCTCTCCCTGTTTGTTTTGTGTTTCTTGGAGAGCCACTGTTGAAGTTCAGAAAGATAGAAAGATTGAGAGACAGTGGCAGAAACAGACCAGCAGGAAAGGTTCAGATAATGACAGTGCTACACATTCCCGCACTGCTAATTTTGCTCCAGCAGCAGAGCCCAGGGTAGCTTTAGCTCTGCTGAGCGCCCCCAGTATGGATCCCGTCCACTAATTACTTGAGCTGCCGTGGTTCACTGAGATTTAAGTACCACCTCAATCCCATTATCTTGCATCCCTACAGCTAGCCCCTGTCGCCTGGGCCCTTTGTAGTGGAGGAGCGGAGGCTGCAGGGATATTGATACAGCCCTCCCTTGCAGATAAGATCCCTGGCCGTCTGCAGGAGGATTCTGAATGGCTGAGGGAGTGTGTGCATACACCTGTGTGAGAAAATCAAAGGCAGTGACAGCAGCACAAGGTGGTGACTGGGGGGATAAAATTGGATGGGGTAGTTGGAAAGATTATTCCCCCTCCAGTGTTTTTTTTTTTTGGAGGTGGGGGTTTCACTCTCTGCTAACCCCAGAGCGACTAATTACAATTCACATGTCACACACTCCACACATAATAAGAGTTAGGAAACAGAATTAGAATATTCTAAAGGCCTGCAGGGGGTGTCATCTCAGGAGAAAGAGGGGAAAGTGTCTTTTTTTCTTTTCTTAAACTTTTTTTTATTTGCAAGGGGGGGAAAAAACAGGGTGAGGAGGTTGAGAGAGAATAACTGTATAAGTGTTTTTGTGCCAGTGCATTTGCGTAGTGGTGGTGTTTGTAAGGGAGAGGTGGGTGAGTGGGTGGCTTGGGGGCAGAAGAGGTGGTGAAGGAGGGAGTGCGAAAAATCTACAACGCTCCCACGTGGTGCAT